CACCTTTTCAGAATTGCATACCCCACTTAACTGTATACATTGTCTTTTCTTATCTGTTTCTTGTTTCTTACTGTTTTTATTTTTTGTGTTGTACGGTGTCCAGAGAGGCGCCTTTAAATAAAATGTATTATTATTATATTATTACAGTACGGGTGTGATTCTCATCATGTCTTCATTAAACAACACTTTAAAAAAGGTCCAGTTTGTAGGATTTAGCAGGTGTGAGTGCGACACCCTCTCCTCACCCTCCAGTTCCAACCAGGTAGGTCAGAGGTCAGCAGGTTTAAAAAGAGCCAAAACAAAAAGAAAAATCTGCAGCGTTGTTGGTGAAAGCAAACTATTACATTCTCTGTTTTTCTCCAAGACTTTTCCTTTTTTTGGATTTGTTATCCATAGCTAACCTAGCTCGGTAGGCTAGTAGCTAACAAGTTTCTGCAAAATATAGAGGAAAAGGCTCCAGGTCGGACTGTATGAGTGTATGTGATATTTTGTGTGTAATGGCTACACATTTTTACAACTGGAGTAAGTATGAATCACTTTTGCAGAGTTCCCATGCATCCTGGATGAGTTTTCCAGTCATGGAAAAACCTGGAAATTGATTGATGAAGTACCAAAAAATGCTGGATTATAATTGTTTTCTACCCCCTTACTCTCTCTCCTACATAAACCTGGGTGTGTATTTTGTTTAAAACTCGACTGTTGGTAGGATAAATTGAAAAATGTCCTCCCTTTTTCTGCCTCAAACAACGTAGTCAGTGTTTGGTTTGTCTGTTCTGGGCTACTGTAGAAACGTGGCGGTCTCCGTAGAAGAGGACTCGCTCATTCTAAGGAAAACACAATGATTCTTATTTTAAGGTGATTATACACTAATGAAAACATACAAATATGCCAAAACAACTATAAATATATATTATTAATTTCTTAGCAGAAACACATTTTAAATTTAGTTTCGCTTCACCAGATTGGGGAGATGGGATTTTTTTCCGCTTGTCATGAGTCTAGACTTGAGGAATTTCTGGAAGGTTAAAATTCACATATATAGAGCACACACACACACACACCAGTCACGTGCCCCAGGGTCGTAGTGTGTACAATATACCTGTTTATGTAAATCACACCTGCTGCGTTACTGTATCCCGTCTACGTTGTATAAGTGGGGCTGTAGGATTGCGTCACGTCAGGGCTGTCGCCAGTTAAAGATACACTTGCAGCACATAGACGCCACAGATTGATAAAGCCCTTATCTCACTGCAAGTTCATTCACACACACACACTGTGGCATTGACACACACACACACACACACACACACACAGTACATATATATCCAGTGACCTTTTTGTCTCTTTAAACCCTTTTTTTTTTTTTTTACTCAGCTGTTTCTCTGTCTGTTGTCGTTCATTTACATTACGATCACGTGTGCGGTGCGTGTCTGCTCCACCTGGTGCTCACGTTCTCTGCACACTGCACACATACATGTAAAAGAAGAAGCGTGTGTTTGTGTGTGTGACAGACAGACAGGCAGGCAGACAGACAGAGAGAAAAAAGACTGAGAGGGCCTCGTTTTTGGGGAACTGGGAGAGTTTTCAGGAGCAGCATCATGAATTTTCACATTTGGGCCAGAAAAAGAGAGATAAAGAAGTAGGTGGACGAAGCACAACATGGGACTGTGGACTCTCTCCTCCCTCCTATGGTTGATCGTCTCTCTCTCTCTCTCTCCCTCCCTCTTGCTTTCTCCCTCCTGGGATCATGGCCCCATCTATATAAAGGAGAGCCGGTGCCACAGTTGACTTTGCTGAGTCAGGCTGACTTGAAGAGACTTCCAGTAAAACCCTGTGACTAAACTAAAGAAGACTGAAACCTGAGTGAAACCTGACTTGCTGCTGGAGGCTGAAGATTGAAGTGCAGAGAGAAATTGACGGAGCTCGAGTCGAGTCCTCCAGAAAAGTGTTGCAGATCAGAACCTCGCTGGTTGAGATCATACTTACTCAAGGCTGTAGAGATGCAGGAAACAGGCTTCTTCACCCAAAGGAGAGCAGCAGTAGCGCTGTGCATTGTGCTGCTTGTGCTGGCTCAGCAGGTGAGTGGCATTGCACTAATTTGAAGTTGTGTAGGATGAATTTCTTCTCTCTTGTATGCTCAACACTGTAAAGTATATTAATCCAGATTAAAGATGTAGAGCTGGCAGGGTATTTTAAAGAGATAAAGAGGTATTTCAATTGTCCAACTGGGATCACTAGAAAGTATAATCAATAAAAAATGATTTTTTTTTTTTTTTT